CCTCGAGCGAGTGGCTTCCACGTCCCAAGACACGCTGTCTAACTTCCACATTGCTTACGTGGTGCTGCCACCACACACGGGCAATGGACCGCAGACAGCGGTGCTCGAAGACGGATAGCCTGCGCAAGTCATCTTTACGAATGGGCCAGGTCTCGCATCCGTACAACAGTACAGCACGAACAGTTGCACAATAGACCCGCCCTTTGGTGGAGAGACGAATGTCGTGACGACGCAACAAATGCCTCAGCTTAGAAAAAGCGGGGCGTGCTCTCGAGATGCGCATCAAAATCTCTCCAACTGCCCCGCCAACAGTGATGCAACTTCCCAAGTAGACAAAGCTCTCTACAACCTCCAGTGTCTCACCAGCAAGCGTGAGTGCAGGCAGAGGCACTTGCCAGTCTTGGAAGAAAGCTTTGCTTTGGGATAGCGAAAAGTATAAACCGTACTTTGATGCTTCAATCGCTAAGCGGTTTAATGTAAGTTGGACGATGTGTGGGTCGTCACCCAGCAAGACAATATCATCAGCATAATCCAAATCAACAACTCAAATACCTGGGAGGAGCTCAACTCTAGCGTTCAACGAACCGCTCAGAGCGTTCTTCAGGACATCCTCAATGGCAAAGATGAATAGGAGCGGAGAGATAGGGCATCCTTGTCGAACTCCACTGGAGACCACAAAGGTAGGCGAAAGCATGCCATAAGCCCTAACCCTGCCCGATGTCAGACTGTATAGAGCGCGCAGTATGGAGACGAACTTCTCGGGGACACCGTTCCTCAGAAGGCACTGCCACAGTACTGTACGATCGACAGAATCGAAGGCTGCACGGATATCCAGGAACACAGCAATCGTTGGCCTCTGATACACATGGCGGAGCTCGAGGATCTGGCGAAGTGTGAATATTTGATCGATGCAGCCGCGACCAGGGCGAAACCCAGCTTGTTCTTCTCGTTGCAACGATTCGCGTGTTGGGGATAGCCTGCGAAGTATGATGGACACCAGCAGCTTGCAAACGACGGGGACTAAACTTATTCCTCTGTAGTTGGAGCAGATTGTGCGCAGGCCCATTTTGAAGATTTGGACGACTATCGATTCACCCCAAGATGATGGAACCTTCTCTTTCGACCAAATTTTCAAGAACAAGGCGGTGAATTCTCGGACCAGCGATGCGCCACCATCTTTAAATAGAGCTGAGTGAAGACCGTCGGGGCCGGGAGCTTTATAACGCATCAAGTGCCGGAGCTCCTGCTCGATTTCTTTGTAAGAGGGCGGGTCTGTTGGGGTAGAACCCTCGGCCCCAGCGCGAGCGCCAGAGGTAGCAGATGGAGCTGGGGGCCAACAAAACTGCGAGCCAAAATGTTCGGCCCATCGCTCCAACCGTCGTTGAAGATTGGTGATTAAGGTGTCATCCTCTTCGCATATTGTTTCACTTATACCAGATCGAAGACCTTCGGTGACTCGAATGAGATGGAAGAGTTTCCTGATTTTACCACAGAGACTAGCAAGCTCCATCTCCCTAGCACGTTCACACCACCAAGCTTCGCGGTCCATTTGCAGACTCCTGCGCAAATCTCGACCAAGTTATTGGCGTTCTTTAACGTGTCTGGAATCCGATGGGATCAAGCGGCGTCTGTCCATCAGCGACAAGGAGTCGGCGTAAATCCAATGTTTTGGTGGGTGACAGGTAACTCCACAAGTGTCGATACTGGCGGAAACTAACGCATCTTTGATATGCGCCCACTGCGAATCGAGATCACCGTCAATAGTTGAGCCAAGCAAAGTTGACAGTGAGGCTTGGTACCTGGTTAAAACCGCAGCGTTTTGTAGATTCGCGACGTCCGGTCGGTAGTGGGCGCGCTTAGGTGATCCTCCGAAACGCATGCAAATCTTAGCACGAACCAATGCGTGATCAGAGTCTAGAAAAGTTGACCAGTACGATCGGCAGTCCGTTACGCTTCCGCGCCATCTGTAGCTGATTGCTATGTGGTCAAGCTGGGTGCACTCTTGCGTTTGTGAGGGCGGGCGCCAGGTAGCAATCAGTCTCCTTGAGTGTCGAAAACTAGTGCTCGAAAGAAACAAGCGTGATCAGAGCAAAGAGCAAGTAGTCTGTCTCCATTGTCTGATCGACTGCCACCGAGACCAAAACTACCCCCAATGTGGTGCTCGCATACTGTCATCTCAGATCTCATTAAACTGCATACATACGAGGTGTGGCCAGAGACAAACTACAATATTATTAATAGCTTTAACTAGTTGTAGATTCAAACTCTTTATGCAATAGGCATAAGGAACACGAATGATTTCATCACCACACAAATAGCTCAACTGAAAACCAACATAGCCTACGTCAATCAATGACTTAACAGCATGCGTCCCAATTTCTAACGATTCAAGCAAATCTCTATTCCTACTTAATGTAACAACTCTTTCTGTACCAAGGTTAAAGCCGACCTACTATCCAGCTACGCATAAGTTTCGATGGATCACAGAGCACCCAGTAAACGCATAGGTACTATGTCCAGTCGCATTTACTTTCTTGAGCAAGAAGCATAACCACAGATGCTCGTTTTTATCATCGGATCCATATCGCGCTGCAGGTGTAGGAGTGGGGATG